GATAACCGAGGGTGATTCTGGGGTCGCTCCATGGCCTTCGAGCGCAGCAAGAACTTCCAAAGCTTCGTCGATCTTGCCTTTGCGGATCAGCAAGCGAGGGGAGTCTGGTAGGAACGGGCACATGGCGTAGATGCACAGGGTGAAGAAGAGCTGGAATGCGAGCGGGAAACGCCATGCGATGTCGCGCGGTGCGAACGAAAAGCCGAGAGTAAGCCAATTCGAGATGCTGAAGCCGGTGATGCAGTTCGCTGTTGACGAATTAGCCAAAATATTACACTGTACGTTGCGAATGCCATACCCATCTGGATGATAACGAGCTTTCCTCGACTATTCATCTTACTGGTCTCAGCCTGCCAAACTCCAGCCGTTGCTGTGTTCATGCCAGTACCAAGCCCCGCCACGATGCGCCCAACCATCATGCTCGCTACAGTCCAACTACATGTCTGGATGATTGCGCCGATGCCGATGATCGTCGAACCGAGGAGAATCTGCCTTGGGCGTCCGAGGATGTCGCCAGTCCAGATGGTACTCATCGCTCCGATGAAGCAGCCGATGTTGTAGATGGATGTCATCACACCTTGCATGTTGGCAGATGGGTAGCCAAAGGTGTGGAGGAAGTTCTCTGAGATGATGACATTGCCGAAGACGCCTTGATCGTAACCGTAGAAGCTGATGAGTGTCAGACAATCGCGTTGCAAGATGTGTTGATCGTAGCTTACACGAGTACCGTACTGGCGGCGATGGAAATCCATACTGTCAGCCGCTCACCAGAGCCTCCAAGATATTTGCGTGCCATGGTCGCGTACTCCCTGTCCAGCTAGCGATGTCACGAAGTATGTGATCGTGGATGCAGAGTAAGAGATGTCGTGGAAGAAGGAAGTCCCTCAAATCAAGAGATGTCAATAGCCGGTCCAATGCACTGGGCCTGTACCAAACTTTGTCATCTGCAACGGGGTCGCAGCGACGATCAACTCTTTATACCGGGCATGAGCCCTGGCTCGGGACTTTCTCCGCTTATCATTATCCTCGTCATGCGAAGCTTGTCAAGCCTCACAAGCCTCTGGTCGACTCCAGATCCACTGAACTTCCCCAGACTCTGATCACATACCCGATACCCCATAGGCCGAGGGCCCACTCGGTCCACACTGGAGCTCTATTACTCGATGGCGGCGTTTTAGCCGAGCAAAGAGGCAATGAGTGATCAAAGCGCAAGGGTGGACAAGCCAATGCAGCGATGTTGAGGTTGCGCGTATGGAAACGATGCATCGCGGAATACTAATTCAGGGAAGGCGGAAAGATGCGTCGGCTGATGAGTACGGAAGGTGAAGCGAGCGCGGGGTAGCGAGGAAGGTGTGCCGAGTGTGGGGAAAATCGATGCTGAGGTCCAACGCCACAACACGAAAGCCACAAAACCTTAACATTCTTGTACGAGCCTCTGAAACAGAGCTGGGAATACAGCCGGTATATCATGCCCAAGCTCTTCCCGGGCATTCAACCACGCGAGTGCCGAATGAGGGAGGTAGCCTCGGGAACTCCCCGCAGTACTCCTCTCCTCCAATATATTCCACGGAAGAAATAGACTAAACTTGAAGTCGCGCATCATAGTCCCGTGATTTGCGCATCATATCCAAACATGTCGAGCGCAAGGTCTTCCACTTCGAGGAGTACTTCCGGCATACGAGAGGTGTACGCACGAACTCATTCCTTCCACCGGTAAAAGGTCGCTCGCGGCTTCTTCGTGTTGATGATGAACTCAAAATGCGGAAGTATAAAGAGACGGGATATTCGTATGGACGGGTAGGAAGCACATCGACCAGGACATACACACCATGATCTTAACCAACTCTGTTCTTCTGACCCTCGCTGGAGCGACCCATGTCGCATCGCAGTCGTTCCAGCAGACGCCTGTTATGGGTTGGAACTCCTACAATCAGATGTCATGTAGCCCCAACACCCAGAAGATCACCACCACCATTAACTCGCTTGCGAGTCGCGGTTTCGTTGATGCTGGCTACAAGTTTTTCCAGATTGATTGCGGATGGGCTTCAAGAGATGGACAACGAAACGCTACTAGCGGCGCACTGAAGGTGGACTTGAAAGCCTTTCCGGGTGGTCTGAAGCCTTTGAGCGACCTTGCAAGGTCAAAGGGTATGAAATGGACAATGTACTCGGATGCCGGTGTGAGAATGTGCGACCCAGAGGCGCCGAGCCCTGTCTTGGGCTCATTAGGTCATGAAGCTGCGGACGCGGATTTCTTCAAGACGCTGAACACTGAATACGTCAAGTGTATGTCCGAAAGAACGTGGTCGCGCACTGTGATCATCAAGCTGACAACCTCCCAGATGACAACTGCTATGCCGACGGGCCTGCAGCTAGCCAGAATGCCCCCAAGAACGCCAGAACTGACTTTGTCACCCGCTTTGGTGTCATGTGGAAGGAACTGCAACGAGTTGGCATCCCAGGGATGTTGATCTGTCAATGGGGCGTTCCTTTCACAACCTCTACTGGTCTCCAGGGACCTGCTCAGTGGACAAAGCCCATCTCGACATCCTTCCGACTATCGGACGATATCACATCAGGTTGGGCGTCCATGTTCCGCATCTACAACCAAGCCGTGCACATCGCCAAATCCGGTCTGGTCGCTCCAGGACACATCGCGGATGCTGATCTGCTCATGGTCGGCAACTCTGGTATGACATTCGACGAGCAAGCTACGCACTTCGCCGTGTGGGCTATGCTGAAGTCGGCGCTCATGGTCTCAACCGATGTAGCGGCTCTATCGAACGAACTCGTCGCTGTTCTGCAAAACAAAGACCTGATTGCGATCAACCAAGACTCCGCCGTCAAGCCGGTCACTCTCCGTCAGCGTTAGAGCGGGGACCGCGACCTTTGGGCTGGCGACCTAGCCAATGGAGACATGGCCGTCTTGGTCGTAGACCTCAGCAACACTGCGCGTACGCTGAGCCTGCAGCTCTCCGAACTCGACATCGCATCGGCATCGATCAAAGATCTCTGGACGGGTAAGACTGTCAGCGAGGCTTCCCTGTCCAAGCAAGTCAAAGCGCACGGATCTCTCGCCATCCGCCTCTCCAACATCCGCCGCTCGACAGCGGCCAAGCCCACATACAAGTATGTCTCCGCATCAACAGGCTCTCTTTCTTCAGGCGCAAGCACGCAATCATGCTCTGGCTGCACCTCTTCCAACAAAGTCGGTAACCTGGGCGGTTCGTCGAACGGTCGCGTAACGCTCTCCAACATTCGCACCTCCAAAGCGACACAAACAGTGTACTTTGACTATATCAATGGCCAGGTCGACTACATGGGCGGCAGCAACGAGCGCGTCGCATCGGTTAGCGTGAACGGGGGTGCGGCAAAGACCGTTAGCTTCCCTCTGAGCGGATACAACTGGGACAAAGATGTATACAAGAACTACGGCGTCGAGTTGTCGGGTTTCAGCACCACAGGTACCAACACAATCACCATTTCTGGCGTTGGCAGTGCGTACGCGCCGGATGTCGATAGGATTGGTGTGATCGCCTAGTGCGCGACCGGCCTCAATTCGGCGCATTCCTGTCTTTCCAGCCACGCTTGATTAGCCGGCTCAGCCACCTTTCTAGCGGTCTGAGCACTTCCTTTGCGACGTACTACGGATGTTTATGAAGCACAATGAATGAACAACACTATATTTTCGGTCCGACGCCAAACCTCCGGCTGGGTATCATGTGAATACGCAACACAATCTGCTCTTCTGTAAGCGTTCTGTCAGCCAAGTCCAGTGCATCATCGCGTTAAATTTCTCCGTGTTGTTACCTCGTGCGCTAATCCAGTGGTCGTTTGAGCTGTCGCATGTGCCAAATCTTACGATGATTGATGCGATATTCGCGTATTCGGTGTTTCTAGCATCTAGGCATACCTGGTAGAATGACTGACCGCGATTTTAACGCACCGCAGCATAGCACAGTGCATCTGACGTACGCGCATCTCTTAGCAATACAGCGCATGAGCAAATATTAAATGTCTCGGCCCTACAACACGCAGGTACAATGATGAATGCATAAAGATCTTCACGTCCTCCGCTTCCTTTCTCCCCCAGTCCAGATCCACAGTCGCACACTACCACTCCAAACCTCACTTGCAAACCCCAACAAGCACCTCAAGATGCAGCTCCAGTACCTCCTCCCCGCCGCGTTCTTCGCCGCTTCAACCATAGCCGCAAAGTTCAACGGCTTCTCCGACATCGCCTGCCAACAATACGACGGCACCTACATCCCCATGACAGCAACCCAACTGCAAGACATCGTCGTCAAGAACTGGGCGACTACGCAAGAAATTCCCGAAGCATCGCGCTCCTTCACTGCGCCTGATGACAGGAAGCTCTGCCCTTCGAACTCGGATGATACGTACAAATGGGTGAGTACTATGATCCTATAGCTTGGTTAGGTGAAGCGTTGCTGACTAGTCTTGTTTTTGCGTTGTAGGTCTCGATCCCGCAGTGGGGCCAGGGAAGCAAGTGGCCCGCTGGTAATGGTGGTGCGCTGGCGGTGGTTTACTACAAGGAGACTGATACGTATAATGTGTGTCGTTATCTTGCTGCTGCTCAAGCGGATGGGTATAAGGGTGCTTGCAAATAGGTGGTTGATGGAAGCAGCGCAGTATCGGCAGGAAGCGTGGCATCAGCTATTGAGTGCTCAGATAATCGACTGCCAAGAAGTGACAGAACTTTCAAGTAGAATGCATATGGATGTCGATGCACTATGCAACGAGCGGGACAGTAAATTCTCACATTGCTCGAGTCAAACCGAACAAGAAGCCTGTGGCGCCTAAGCTTTCGCAGCGGTAGAAAGATTCGTTAGCCAATATGAGGATGAAGCTGAGATGAAGAATGCAGATGTATATGTTTGTCTTTCCTACATGAAGCGGTCTATTTTGATCACATTGCTACATGTTGCTATGAACAAGTCAAGTCAAAGGAAATGTGCGTGGGTATGGCCAGTTTGCCATTACGATGACAACCCAGATGGTGAATACTCAAAAGTTTCCGAGCCATCCAGAGACACCCATTTCCATGGGTGTGTTCCACACCAGAGCTCTTGAAGCTCGTACATCGCGAAGAAGGCCGGTACCCCTCCTGCTGGTAGTGTCATATGCCGACCTCCAAAAGAGGCATACCATTCTTCGTAGAACTGCTGTGGCGTCCAGTCCTTCCTGGCAGAGATCTCTGTCGCAGAATCCCAGACTTCACCGGCGTTTCCATCAAAGCGAATGAAGTACTCACCCAAGGTGATACGGCGGACCATGTCGTGAAAGCACGGCGGTAAATCGCATGGTAGTTGGAAGCGTTCCCTCATGGCGTAGTCGTGCAAAGTGTTTTCGAATTCCATCTTGGAGAGTACTAGCCTGCGGTCGATCTCATGATGTTGCTTGATGTAATCGGATCCTGCCAGGGCCTCTTGTAGGCTAGCTGCATGCTTTATCGTCTCCCATAAGAGAACTGAATCGATGTTTTGGCCCTCAATCGCTACGCTGAGAGCATGGGCGGTCACTCCGTTAGCAGATAAAGCGTGTAGTTCGTCCAAAAGGTCGGCAAAGGAACGGAGCATGTTCTCTTTGGGAAGGGTGCTTTCGTTGAGGCAGTGATGAACGACGGGTTCCAGCCATACTGGGTGCATCAAGCTAGTCCAGAATCCTACTTGCAGTTCGACATGGAGATGTGGGTTCTCCAGCAGAAAGGGTGTGAGCCCCCGCAGATGCGACTCTGGGTATGCCACGCCTCGCTTTTCTTCTTTGATCACGATTGTCGTACGGAGGAGCAGGCGACTGCTGCGCGGTAGTGCCTTTAGGAAGTTAATAGCGACGGATGCTGCAGAAAAGTACCAAGCGACGGGCGCCATTGGTTCCCCACGATCAGTTTCGCCAATTAGATCCTGATGCGATGGGTCAGCAAGACATGATTCGAGTGCCAAATCAGCCTCTGTAGGAATCAGCCACCATTCTGGATTCCATGCAAGAACAGCCTTGTGAGAGCCGGGAAGGAAAGGCGGCATCCTGCTGTGGCACATCCAGGGAGTAGAAAAGGCTCTAGCAGCTGCGTTTTCGAATGCCGAATGCAAGGAGGCCAAATCCAACGTGTATTGTATGGCCTCGCATAAGGTTGCCGATGTCTGCCAGCGCCAGGTATGATCATTGCGGAAAAGTGCCCTGGATGAGTACAAGTCTCGCCCGTCTTCAATGGCGTCGTATACGGCGCGATAGTAGCGCGATATGCCGGGAAAGCGCGCCGTAACCTGATCTCGTATGGCTGGCGTGACGCATCCGCTTTTCGTAACGTGATGTAATATGTGCATCTTCATGCGGCGTGAAAACTGTAGCAGGCGTTCGAAGCGGCCAGCCCTGGAATCGAGATCGTTAACTTCGACGCCATCCTTATGTGAGCGTGCAGGAAGAAAGCTTATCGTGTTCGCCCGCATGGCCGCATCCTTCATCTCCTCAGCTGCTTGCTTGCAGCAGCGTGTCAGCGCAGTCATCTCTTGATGTTTTTCCTGGTTCTCGTACCGAAGCTTGTTTGAGGCATAGTCGTAGAAAACGCCATTTTCGTCGTGCGCATAGTGTTCGTAAATGTTATCGCGCAATTCCCTAGGGAGGCGGAATATAGGTGACTGCAGTTGGTCTGACATCGTGAGAAGTATGATAGCGGGATTTCCAAGTAGTAGTAGAATGATGATGAGTATGGAAAAATATGATGATGGAAAATCGATGGGAATCGATGGCTTAAGTGCGTTCGGGACATCCGTCCATGGATGGATCGCCAGACATCAGCGGGTCACGTGCACGACATAACTTTGGTTCAGGGTAACACCAACCTCAAAATCGCCCGGTACTACCAAGGCAAAGAAGTGAGCTAGGAAGTTCAGAGATTCGCAATCAAATTTTAGCCGAAACGCGGTGTTGTCTAATAGAGCATACTTAGGTACACCCGGGGTCAGGTGAGCAGCGATGAACACAACCAACGTACATCAGTTTTCACGATGACTCGTGTAGGGTCGGTCGTAAAAGTTGCATAGCATACACGCCTCTCACTTGATCAAACGAAGATGCGATATCTACGCTGGTACCACATATGAATCTGCCAGCGAACGAGCAACCACTTACGATGAGTTGAATATAGGACGGCGTGTGAGTGTGTACCTAGGCACATTCCCACGCACGTGCCATCGAAGTGCCGTGTGGGATGGGTCCCGAGGTCCTACCGAGAGCCATGGCCTCTCCAAAACGCGCCCATCATCGAACATTCTCGCATTTCTTGTGGTCTCGGAAGCGCCAGATGCGGACGCACGGTCTCTTGTCGGTCATGGTCCTTTGGCGATCATTGCCCTTTTCCTATGCGTTGCTCGGTGCTATCGCAAAATGAAGTCTCCTGCGTCAAAGCTTGGCATTGCTGCTGAGACAACGGTGGAAGCACCTGACCCGCCCTGATACCTGCGACGGTATAAATCACATAGATAGACATAGATCTCTGTTGCTGGTTAGACTCGCAGAAGTGAGTTTGAGTGTCCGCTAGAGATCATATCTGCACATTCCTCATCTTCTCCTGTTATCGAAACTTTCTCCATGCTTCTCCGCAATGACAAGTCTTACAACGGCATATCCGACCCGCTCCAGAGCCTAACGACTGCGGCATGTACCAACCAGTATTCCGGTAACCCCCCTCCGCTCGCTCGTCTACCACGCGAATTACGCGACCAGATCTACGAGTATGCCCTGGGTACCGACGTGATGCGCATTTTGGGTTTCGCCGAGACGAAGATCATAATGCTGCCAATCTACGTACGGGATCGTGCGGACTGTGTGTGGGAAGACGGTCTTCCGACGTGGATGCTATCCAGCAAGATGATGCTGTCTGAAGCACTGGAAGTCTTCCACCGAATTCAGTGCTTTGAGCATATCGACCTTGCGCCAGGTTACCAAGAGGGACTTTCGCCCACCCGAACGAACCCCCTGGTATTCAACCAAAACATACGTCACATAAAACTCAGAGAGTCACTCGAAGTGGTCGGAGATTACTTTCCTTCACCGAGCTCCTGGCATCCCGGATACAACGATACATTTCTAAAGTGCCTTGCGTCATGGAAACCTCGGGAACTGGACGTACGCTGTGAGTTAATCTCCTATCATCCGGAAGGACCTCGTATGGATCCAAGCAAAGTACCAGAATGGCACAAGAAGGCCCCTATGCGGAATCCTGATCGTCGTGATCGATTCAAACAGCTTCGTGGACGGTGCCGAAGCATAACCGTGGAAATCAAAGTCCCTCACGATCATTACGACTATGATAAGCTTCTTTGTAGCGCAAACGCTTGGGCTGAACCTAGCCTTGAGCACAGGAAACAACATTTCGCTCTTCTATGTCAGTCGATTGAGGCATGGGCAAGGGAATTGGTTGGCGGAAGCACGCACTTTTCATTGAAAAACGAGAATGAAGGGGGTGGGGTGCGCATACATAAAAGGTATGACAATAGCGAGCGTGTATATGTCGAGGAAAAATACTGCATGGCCATATGCGTGGCGCAGAGACATAGCTAAGACATGCCGCGTAGAAGCACTGAGGATGTTGGGGATTCGGACTGCAGCCTTGCAATACTCATCAACACCAGTGCGGCAAATTGAAGCTCCTACTAATAATCTCGGCTTGGTTCACTTAGTCCGTTGCAAACATAGTAACGTACGGCCGCATCTCTCATGTGATGTCTCTTACCATATATTTCTACCATGGAAGGATTGAAGCCCTGGCTCCGGATTGAACAACCTACATACACCGCGTAGTTCTCATCGCTTGTCTCCTGATAAGGACCGTAGACCCAAGAATATATAGATATACCATGAGCAGCAGAGTCCAATAACTTCCCTCTACCACCATCAGCGTCTACAGAGAGCGTAATAACAGCCCACCTCCCACACCAACCCCTCACTTCCCCCTCCGCAACCCCCTCAAAGTCCCCGCAAACCTCCTCCGAGTCACATACACAAACCCCATAAACACCACCGCAAACACCACACTCCCCGCCCCCGTCCTCTGATTCATAACCGCCTGCTTCTTCGCCTCCTCGTAATACCCCTTCACCTTCTCCGTGACACCATCATCCTTCTCCAAATCAGGCATAGCCATAATCTTGACCACCAACGCCGACCAGCCCGTGAAGTGCTGGGTACGTTGTCCAGCACCTTTAACAGGGTCGTATTGCTCCCAGATATATCCCGTTTGGAGATACGAGTTGAACACGGTGTGGACGATGTTGCTGCGGAGTTCGATGTAGATTTCGCGGCAGCGTTGTTGTGAGGGGCCGGGGATTTGGGCGAGGTCGAGGAGGTTGGTGAGGAGGAGGTAGTTGATGTTTATCCAGATGGGCGAGCGCCAGTAGTTGTCGTCTTTGCCGTAGGCGTCGTCTTCGGGGCTTAGACTGCGGACGCCGAAGTCGGTCCAGAGGTGGTTGGGGTCGCGGAGGAGGGTTAGCATGGCGGGGAGATGTGGGTGGGAGGGGTCGGTGAAGCCGGTGAGGAGAGGGAAGATGGAGATGTAGCCTTTGTGGCAGGCGTGGGTGTGTAGGTCGTTGCGTACGACGGCGTCGCAGTAGGTGTTTGGTTCTTTGGACCAGTGTATCGTGTCGATGTTGGTCTTGACGCCGCGGATGTGGTTTTGGTATGTGAGCGCGTCATGGGCGTTTTCGGTGAAGAACGCGATGCGTTCTAGTGTTCGTGCCATTACGCCCACCCAGCACAAGGCGTCCAAATGTAACTCGGTGATGTCAGGAGGCTCCGCTCGAGGGTAGTCGTCCAATCCACTGGCAAAGTTCGTGCCTGGTGTCCGGCCACGCCATCGATAGCCCTCATTCAAGTTGGCCGATGGCATGGAATGGGCCTCCACATCTCCCGATTGCGACTTCCGGAACCAGTCGTAGTGCTTCTTGAGGTACGGATACATCTTCGTCACCAAAGCTTTCCCAGTCTCTGCTTTGGCAAGGTACAGGGACTCGTGACCGTGATATTTTGTCGTCCCTTTCAGCATATCGATGAACTTTGAGATGACCAGAAACATCGTTGGCGGGTTCGCAATGTGTGGAAATTGGGTGACGAACTCAGCAGGCGTGGCACCCTCGGCCTCCGCGCCTAGAATCTGCTCTCTTGCTATCCAGCCATCATCATCCATGAGGTTCAAGAGCCAGTCGCGTATCACCTCGAGAGTGAGATCAGCATCCCACTCGATGACAAGAAGGAGATGGAACCCTTCGTCCCATAGGAAGCCCCTTGGGAAGGCTGCACGAGATGGCGTATGAGTGAGAAGCTCATACGGGCCTTTCGTCTCCGGTGTTGTATGCTTCTTCGCATCGACCGACTTCTGCCAGAAGTTTGCAGTAGTTTCGGCGTATATGGCCTTCTTCGACGTGTCGACCTTGGCAGTGCCAGTAAAGTAACCTAGTCCACCTAGCAGATTGGAGAAAGTATTCCGAGAGAAGGCGCGGTGCATGACGGTGGTGAAGGGCGTTTTCGGGGTGAACACTGCGTCGAAGTTCTTGGCGAAGGATGCGAGGGTTTCCTCTAGACTGGTGGTAAGACCGGCGGCTGGACGGCATTAGCATATCTGGTTCATGGACGCACTTCTTCGTATATAATGGCGGAGGTGAGTACTCACAGGTCATGGCTCGCTTCGCAGTATCACTCGAGTACAGGATGTCGAACTGCTTGAGGTTAGTCTCAGTGTAAACACATGAGCGTGGTGCTGACCTCAAATTCCCCATGGCACACCATCTGCACTAGCTGCAAATTGCCGTTGCCCGGAGCGTTGCGCAGTACGATATCATTTGGTCCTGGCTCGGTACGGTCTTTCGTTTGGTCTTTCAGCGACTCCAAGAAGGTAGCTTCTTGCACATGCTCATCAGCTGGTTGTTCATGACACGATGGGGAGGTTCGAAGCACAGGTAGATGGGATTGAAGATATCATGGCATTCATTGTACTTACATTTGCCCTGCCACAGCCTGTCTTCCGTGACATTGAGCGTCTTGATATACGCTATCTCACGTTTCTCATCTGTATTGATGGGTACAGGGATATGAATGCCCGCATTACCCAACTTCGGATGCGCAATATTCATATTCACAGCCTGAACCGTCTTCTCATCGGCCTCAAACTGTTGACGCGCCTCGAGCTTGCAGTCGGCACAGGCTTCCATGGCCTCCATGCCAATGTAGAAGACCACGGTAGTCTTGAGATCTTTCGGCGCATCAGGCCTAGGCATGCCCTTGATGCGCAAACCCCAATTCCCCTGGCTCTGGCCTTCAGAGTGCTTTATGAACTCGGTTATGAGGTTCATCTTGTTTCCGACGTCTTCTATCATTTGTCGGCCGCCTTCTCGTGTATCGTATGAGATCCAACCGTATTTGGCCATGCCGTCGCTCTGGTTCACGTCATGTCGGAGTGCTATAGAACTAGTTAGCGCTGTACGCGAATCCTCATAGTGTCTACTTACTCGTCTCTACATCTTCCAGCTTCCCCCACATGACGCCCGCAATGAGACTTTTGGGCATGCGGGCGCGCAGGCCCAGATACAGATTCGGACGATAAGGGCCCCATAGCAGCGACTCGTTGCTAGTCGGCACCTTGTGGTCGGTGGCGGACGCGTGTGGAAGAAGCGTGAAGAGGAGCGCGAGGAGGGCTGGCGGGAGCATCATGACGTCGAACGGGTGCGACGCGCTTCACGACGCGTTGACCAATTGCTCTCAAGCTCTTCGGGACGACTGCGGTGGCGCGAGGCTTCGGGGCATATCTCTGCTACGTTGACTTAGCTCTTAGCTGACAGCGACAGCAATGCGCCGGCTATATCGGACATATTTGCCCAGGCAGAGCGGCCTTGGTTCCTGCTGCGTTGTGATTGGATGGCGCGCTACGCCATGGCCAAAAGAACTCTACTTCCATCTTCAATCAGTCGCACGCGATAAGAATCACAATTCGCTTTACTCATCGTTCGAAAGATCTACAGCTGTATTCGCCTGCGATGGGTTTTGGGTCAGTTACAGCGACTGGTCGTCCGCATGTTACTACGAATGCATTCATTCGTTACCTTCCATGCCACAGAAACTTCAACCTTTCCAGGATGCATTTCAAAACATACGTAGGTAGTACACATTACACAGAATAACACCAACTCTTGACGCCAAAACATGCCACAGGGCTGAAAGGATAACAAGGATGCCAGCTATTCCAACCCGCCAACCTCCCGCGCGACGTCAGCGGTCCACTCACGCCGCCGAGCCCCCACAATCTGCAAATGCGGATGAGCGAACTAAAAGCCAGCCATCCCGCCATGGATGCTGGCGATCCCGATCGACTCCAGGATAGCAAGATATAAAGACTTTTACGCGATTTCTGACACAGCACAAATTTGGAGCGATTGCAACATTACATCAACATGGAAGAACAAGTAGAGCGCCTCGCAAACAAGGTCTGGGGTATGTGATAATATTACGAGTTGGAAATAAGAGACACGTGTTGACGAGACTGCAGACCAATATCAAGATGTCCCTGCATCGAAGCGCTTGCTAATCGCCGTATCCGGTATCCCAGGGTCTGGTACGTACTGCACATGCACGAACCTCGCCCCTCCAACCCGCTGACCCCAACCAGGCAAAACAACACTAGCAGCCATCGTGTCAACCAAACTCAACGAGAAACATGCACAGCAATCGCCTGGTACCGCCAATAGCAACCCACTCTCAGCCTTCATACCAATGGACGGCTTCCACCTCTCGCGCCAACAACTCGACGCAATGCCCGATCCCGACAGCGCCCACGCTCGAAGAGGCGCGGCATTCACATTCGACGGCGACTCTTTCTACAGCCTAGTGAAAAAACTACGCGACCCCATATGTCCCGAGAGCTCCACACTCTACGCCCCCAGTTTCGACCACGCGCTCAAAGACCCCGTTGAAAACGACATCGCCATCGCGCCATCCGTCCGCATCGTCATCTTCGAAGGCAACTACTGTTCGTTGAACAAGGCGCCTTGGAATGAAGCTGCGAAGCTCATGGATGAGCTTTGGTTCGTGGATGTGGACTTTGATGTTGCGCGGAAGAGGTTGGTGCATCGCCATGTTAAGGCGGGGATTGCGAGGGACGAGGAGGAGGCGGGGAAGAGGGCGGATGAGAATGATCTTGTTAATGGGAGAGAGATTGTGGATTTGAGGCTGGATGTGCATGAGTTGGTTAGGAGTGTGGAGGATGGGGAGTGGGCGCCTGAACAGCAGGGTGTGGGGGATGGGGCGGATGAGGGGAGTGAAGGGGGGATGGCGGGACGGGTATGATGATGTGTTTGTTGATATCTAGTATTGGCGGTGGATTACCTGGCTTTCTTCGCTGTTTTCGGCCCCCAAGTATAGACGCTGCAATACCGCGCATTCATGATCTCTGCGTGGAGACCCTGATAGTCCTCAAGACTGTTCCCTTTTCATAGTAGGACACATCTCTCGTATCATCACATTCGTGCACCTCCGCATCACTACCAACAATGCCCTTCGCCCACACTTCCACCGTCGCCTTCTCCTCGAAAAGTTGATCCGAACTGTCCAATTCGCAGTGCTCGCACACGTTGCTCTGCAGTTCAACAGTCAGGCCTCTGCAACACCCACGAAGTCCTTCTATCTTGCCATCTAGGCTCCTTCTCCGCTTTTCCCTTCTCTTCTTGTCGTGTGGGTCCGCTTCTGTACGCACATAACTGCACGCATGGCAGAAGAATGCCACTTCGCAGACGAATTTAACGTCTTTGAGATCTGGTCGGAGTCGCTGCAGGTATTGCACAAACATGGTGTCGACCTCATCCGGCGCAAACCACAGATCTTTCGCGGCGCCTGTAGCCCCTTGCCAATTCAACGTGACTTTCCATGTCATTTCGACGTTCTTGATGCTGTTGTTGAAGAGAAGTGTGTTTTTATACTCGCTGCGGTCCACCGGGTTGGGTGGTGCACGATAACATGATTTCGCACTGAAAACTCTGCGGCGAACTTTTGGTGTTAGGCTTACTCTTCGTTTTGTTCTTCCATATTGTGTGGTTGGGGCATATGTCTGCGTCCTGTAGAAGAGTTCAAGCGCTTCCCCAAGAATCGTTTTGCACGAGAGTAGCCATTCGGGAAGGCCCATGTAGTGGTCATCGAGACAGCTCGAGGGGTACTTTCGGTTTTTGGCATCGATGGCGAGGTTACGGTAATGAAAGGTAGTTTCATCGGAGCCGAAGGCGTGCCCCCAGATCATGTCGCGCAATTCACGGGGCAGGCGAGTGAAGAGTGATGACTGCTCATTCTGAGTGGTGATGAGTCTTGATCGTTCAAGATCCTCTTTTGTGCTGCGTTGGCGGCGCTTACGGGGGACGTAAGGTCCGTCGTCGGGTGAGTAGCGTTTTTCGTTGCGGAGATGCATGTTGAGAAGTGTTACTATCTGGCGAGAACCTGACAGTAAGGTGTGAGACGACCTCGGGAGCGTACGCCGCGATGGGGGATTGTTGTAGAGAGAAGAAAACATGGCTTCACCAGTGGGATCGAAGTTTAAGTAGCCGTCGTATTGGTATAGAGCTAACTGGTTGTGGCTAGCGTCATATCCCCGTTGGAGACCGAGGCGTTGATATGGACGACTGTATTGCCTGGAACTGCAGCCGACGTCTGTCGACTATCGATTCAGCCTCAGTAACTCCTTTGTTTTTGATCTAGGTACCAGACACAGTTATGTGATCTTCCTCGATGCGTTTTCCTCCACCTTCCGCTCAACGGTCACATGTCGCACCCACACCAAGTCCGGCTGATGAGGCGTCCAAGGCTTCCATACATCGACACGACCCAGATCGTTCCAAGATGAAGCCCCACCCATACCGACAAGCCTTGTTGCACACTTCTCCGCATCATCCATAATCGTCCATGGCGTGCCACCCTTCTCAGGATCTGACCTAACCACGACAGTAATCTTGACTTTACGAAATCTCTCTCGCCAGTCTTCTTCCCACTGACGGGCGAGGTTGTGAGATTGGTACTTCCTATAGTAGTACTCGGTTTCGACGTGGTACCAAATCATCTCCAAACGCGCATCCTCCAGAAGTAGGTTGTCCATTAGCTCGAGGAAACGAGCAGTCAAATCACAAAAGATCTTGTTGTTCTCAAGCCAAAATTCCGGAGCGTGATATCCAGGGACCAGCTTGACAGTTCTTACGCCACCAGGAGTGAAGACAAGCGAGTTCGGTAGTCCAGGCAACTCATTTTCGGGGGATGCTGGTCGACCAAAGGGTTGGAAGGCGTAGGTGCGCGCGATCATGTCTAGAAGCTCGTAACAAATCTGCTGGCTAGACAGCGACCATAGTGGGAGACCTCGCTTAGTTGATTTCAAGCGCCGGACGCCTAGGTAACCTTCGGTGTCCTGTGTTGCAACAATGATGAGCGTATCCACGCGGAATGTGAGATCCAGACCATCAAGTAACTCCAAGTAGATCTGGTTTCGAATTTCGCGTGGGAGATTCAAGAGGGCGCTTCCTTCTTGAGACGGAATCTCCGAGACAGTAGGCCGAGCCTTTCGGGCTTTAGTCATTAGACGCTTCGAGGAGCGAGTGCCTTTTGCCGGCGACAAAGCGCGTTTCTTGGACGGCGCCTTCTTGGAAGGAGCCATATCGTCGTCTGAGCGTAGGTGGGCAGTGGGTTCGAGTGGCGAGGAGCGATTGTATCAGTCGACCCGAGCTATGAGTGGGCTATGAGGTCGAGTTGGGTGATGGGCGAGCGTCGATCGTTGACTGTCTGTCCTGCGTAGGTTAGAAGATACAGAAGTACCGGATTTTATATGCGAAAGCATCCGAATTCCAGCGCTAAATATTCTCGTGATCGCGGGCACGGCCCTCTTCTTGTAGTGAAGGAAGGCGCGACGGATGCTGCCTGGGCCACCCTCTTCGTGACCCGATTAAGAAGTCGAGAACACCGCACATTACATCAATGCCCCTAACTTCCTCAGATCAACTCATTGCCAACTCGGAAGCCGCGATGAACTCAACGCGCACAAACCGCGCCAGCATCGAGGACACCTCGAACCTCGACCACCTCGAAACATCCAAGTCCACCGCGTCGGCTAAATCAGCCCTCATCTCATCACATAGCCTCCTTCTCGATCTCCCAGCCGAGCTCCGAGAAAATATATACGCCTACGTCTTCGGCCCATCCCCCCGCGCATCCAGCGCCAGCAAAGAGACGAGCGTCCAGGCTTCAGTGCGCGACTTCTCGACTCCTTCCCGCTATTATCCCGGATATGCAATCATCGGTCTACCCAAATGGTTGCTAGCCAACAAACAGATCCATGCCGAAGCGATGAATGTGTTCCGCCGATGGCGTACGTTCGTGTTCGATGACCCGATACCTGTGATGGAAGATTTAACTTTGTTGGACGAACAGCGGGCACTACCTGCTTTCAACAGTGTGACCTACGGTGGCAGCGCCAGCATTGATCGCGTTGTGTTCCAGCCTGGTCGTACTGTGCAGTTTAAACTGCACTGGCCTGTTCGTCCCAAGTACACGCGACGCGAGATTGTACGTTTTCTCGAGAAAGCGAAAGAGGATGACACCGAGCTTCTCGACTGTATTTATCGTGGACTCGGAGAGAACGCGTGTTTGGACTTATACTGGGATCGTATGTGGTGTCGAAGCCACTATTACGGTGCGGAGTGGCTGGAGGGCGAAGAAGAGTTGATGGATTGTTTTGATGAGAGGTGGAGTGGGCGGTTTCGTAAGGTTTGCGTCCATGTTACGTATGGAGGAGCGGAGTGGGCCTTTGCGCAAAAGATGATGAAGGCGGCTAGGAAATGCTCACGGCGACTCGTGGGTATTACTGCAGGAGAGGACGTAGGCGTGCGTTGGACTAGGAAGGAGGTGAGACCGGCGGTTAGTCCTCTCCACCTCAGCGATTGGGAGTCGACGTTGGTGATCGAGCGGAAGATTTGAGGTGCTGGCTTGACTCGGCGAGATTTTAGTTTCAAGGCTTTGGTGGCCGGTACGAGAACTTACTCCCGAAGTTTGTATATTTCGTGAACGATCTCTCTCATCCAGCTGATCTTTCAACCGTAACATACCTCTTGATGCGGCCGTAACCAAACGGTCTATCGCCAAGATTCCTCACCTCTTCCCTCCATCTCACGCTCGACCCATCCTCTACCGTCTCTCCGTCTCCATCACATCCCCCGCCCCCCCTAGCAACGAGTCTTTTCGCCGCCCGTTCCCCCAATCCCGCCACTATCTCTTTCGCCATCAACTCATCTACTCTACTATCCACTCTAATCCGCACACGTTCCAACCTGCCCACCCAGCGCTCCAATGCCTCATTCCTAAGAACCACTTCATCACCCGGCAACACGCCAAAAACGTTGTAAGTCCAGTACATGCGCAGCTCTTTAACAGCTGCACCAGTCTGGTGCAGGACGTTCAACATCTCTTCATCATTAGACCCAAGTTTAACCACCACCGTCCTCTGCCGTTGCCCCCTACGCGCTCCCGACACAGCCATCTGTCCGCCCAGTGTAGGGTCTACATGCCACCGCGCAAGCCCTAATTCAGTCGTGACTTCGGTATCAGAATCTTGTGCTAGCTCGTCTGGGTGCGCGTCTTTGATATAGCTTAACGCCCTCATATTGAACACTACTGTCTTGACAGCCGCAAAGACGAGCCTGTTCAACACGTCATCCGTGGCTAGTTCCCTAAGACGTAAACTCCGGGCGAGGCCGAGGGCGGGGTGGTATAAGGTGAATGCGTACTCTCTTAACAGTACGTTCATGCCTTCTCTTAAAATTTGTGTGCATGTTATTAACCAGATCAGCAGGCCCTTTTTTTGGGGTTGTAAAATGGCGTTTCCTTTGTGCACAATTGTCTTAGAGATCGCGTAGAAGGACTAAATGCAAGAAGTGCTTATAAGTAAGGCTTCAATTGTAAGTAAGTTATATAAGAAGGTGTAGATAAAGTTTCGTAGTTTGGCGGGCAGGTTAAAGAAGAGACATAGTGTTAGTAAGGTGTTTAGAGAGCTGTGGGCAGTATGTAGTTCCGTGTTTATAGTTTTGTTTAGCATCCTTAGGAATTGCCCTTAATTCGGGCCAGGATAGGCGCGGCCTAGTAGTAGTAGTGTTACTAAGGGCTGCGGCTGCTGTAGGACAGCGGCTTGTGATTAATCTTAGAAGCGAGAAGGTTTAAGTAGAAATAGTAGGTCAAAGCTTTAGAAAAGAAGCTTGTAAGGTGCTGAGAAGCTTTCGTTGTGGGTGCGCTTACTGAGATATCCATGGATCTTGATGGGGCAGGCGTCAGCGAGTCACGTGCTCCAATATCCACTAGCGCATCCTCCTTTCAGACATGCGCAAGTCATCACCATGCAATTAAACAGCCAAAACTGAGTTTTCCAGTAATCATATTGCTACGATAATCTTCTACTCAAACAAGCATACACGCTCGCGGCCGTGAAAGATCCGAGTCTGGCAACCTTGCAAGAGCACCCGGAACATGCTCCGGTCTCTGCAAAGCCCACTCATCCCCTATCAAACATACTACACAAAGAAGTGAAGAACGTGCCTGTGCTCCCCGACTTCATATGCAAAGGAAAAAAAAATGTTTAGCCATGAGGCGTTTGTGAGTGCCGATGCAAAAAGGTGCTCGGCCGGCCGTGTGATGGGAAAAGCTCGCTTCATCCGGGAACGCCGCATCCGACTCCGTAAATGACGATGAGAACCGGGTTCAGGCCGTTCGAAAAAGGGTGGGTGCGTATGTATACATTTTGGGCACCCGTCATCCAAGGTTGCGCCAAATGAGTGCAGCAAAAGGAAGGCAAAGGGGGAGCGCGCAGAAGTGCTAGCGACAAACGGGTGTATGCCGTCTATGCCTTGACTGCGCCGCCCTCCTCGACGTTCTCGTTGTTCTCAAAGTCTGACGCGGAGGTCTCGCGGTTCAGGCTCGTCTCGCGGTGCAGGAAGGTGTGTTCCTTGACGGGGCTGCCTGCCAACTCGCCTTGACCGTTGGCGGTGACGCTGTCCCTGTGGCCGTTGCCATTGCCGTTGCCGTTCTGGCCGGTGGGCGTGGGCGGGGCGATGTGTGGGATCTTTTCGGGGTTGGGGTGCTCGCGGCCGACTTGGGTGACGCCGACGTCACCAGCTTTGCCGGCCTTGGAGAGGGCGTAGTCGCCGCTGTCGAAGTACTTGCGCTCCTGCGGCCATGGTTAGCAGGGATGCGGACGCGAATGTTTCGCAGGCTCTCATACCTTCAGCTTGTTCTGGAGCAAGTCCTTCTTGTTGGGCAGCTTGCCGTAGAGACGGAAGAGCTTGGCCTCCTGCTCCGACATTTTCTGAATCGCTGTTAGCTGGACACGTTCCTAGAGGTCGCGCATGGCTTCTGTGCGGCTATGACGTACGCTGACATCGACCTTGTTCTGCTGGTGCGGGTTCATGGTTGCGGTGGTGGTGATTGTGGTGTTGCGGATCGCAAGTGACGTTCGTCAGAGGGGCAGCTGCTCGCGAAGGGCGCAGAGTGTCTGTCGAGTGGATTCTTTGTTGGACGGCCGACACAGAAAAGGGTCAAGGGTCGCAATTTGTTTAAAAGTTGCTGTCGTTGGCTCGCGCTGACCACTTTGGGCGAGTACCGTTACCCGTTATGTGACAGGGACAGGGTGAATAGATGTGATTGATCCGGCTTCCAGCGCTGACGATTGGGTGCCGACAAAGCTCGGGCGTGTGTCTTTGCTGCTGCCTGACAACACAACAACGTCGACGTGTTATGACTCGCTTGGCTTGTGGTTCTGGTGCTGTTGAAGCGACGATGTTTGGGTGGGAGTGGGAGGAGTGCCCCTCTATCCAGCTCGACTATGCGATAAGCCTGGATCGCCCGAGGTTCCAGCTGCTTGGAATGCTGCACGAGATCAATCGAGCAACAAAGCAAAAAAGAAAAGAGGCCCTGTTGAGAGTTGCAGAGGGTCAGGTGTATTTGTTAGAAGCAATGTATAGAACAGTTGCGGTGATGTAATAGACTTGGGCGTTGCTGTCTCTTCAATTGCTTCGCTCAAGGTTGTCACTCAAGGAGGGGCAGACGCAGCACATATGTAGGCGACGAGTGGGCCGACGTGAACAATCCCCAAAACGTGGCTTACTTAACGGATGAATTGACGCAACTCGCACAAAGACACCAAGGCAAAGCAGCCGTTTCCGCGAAAGTGTAACCAACCGGCCCTTACGCGCGTTGGTCGGATGCACGCTGCACGCTGGATTGCCGTAGACCTTACCAGACGCGGCACCTTCACAACGTCACGCGTGCACACCATTGGCCTCTGAACCCACCATGATCGCCAGGGCCCAGCTCGAAAGAGCTTGCCGTGTCGGTATTTTGTGCCATTGGAGTTTGGGCGCGGCGACGTCACATGGAACACTGCTTGGACTGAATCACGATGCACTTTTTTTATCTTGCAACTACGAAAGGATGCTTCCCCGCTTACCACGATAGACGGTTTGCTCGAGCGTGATAGGCTGCTTCGATGCGCTAGTTCTAGACTTTATCAAACCCTGAAGGTCAGCCATGCTCCCCACCACCACCTACTTTGATTAGCGAGATACTACTGCAGGGCTTCAAGGTTCTCACCATCGATCCAGAACACAGGAAGCAAGACACGACATCGAGCCTGAACACATCTTACAGAGCCCCGCCTGTTGAGTAATTCGCTTAACCACTGCAGTAAACTATCACGTCAAAAAATACACAAGACCGGGAGCGCATCCCACCTCCAATCACAGAGATCCCGAAAATGGCTGGCACCGGCAAGACCTTTGTGGTGGAACATCTGGACCCTGAGCTCGAGGAATGGTCATCTCTTGAGTACTCCAGTATCGCGGCGGAGTCACATGCATCCGGCGCACAGTTCTTGCTGTCTTCAGTGCCGGCTTCGTTGAAGCTACCGGCCAACCTACAGGGCGCAAAGGGACTCAATGTCGAGACAAGAGGTATTGAGGAAACCTATGCGGACAAGAAAGACAAAGTGTGTCTGCTGGATCCTGCCGCAGCCAAGGACTTGAGTCCAGAAGATGGCGAGACTTTCGACATTTTCTTGTTCGGCGGTATACTTGGTAAGCATCCGCACTCATCCAGAGAAGAAATGTGATGGAAGAGCTGATTCTTGATTAGGAGACGACCCACCACGAGGTGTGTAATACTGTCACCCTTGTTCCACATGTGCACAGTTGACTGACTACTCATAGACCGTACTTCGGAGCTGCGCAAGAAAGGATATCAAGGACGCCGCCTGGGACCAGTACAGATGACGACTGACACAGCAGTACGTGTCACGAGGATTTGCGTGCAAGACAAGGGTATGCCAAACAATTCAGACGCTGATGCATGTTGCTGACGAGGCGCAGTACCCGTCGACAAGATCCCGTACATCGACCATCCTGATCTCAAGATCAACAAGAACGAGAGCACGCAAATGCCGTTCCGCTACGTCAAGGACGACAACGGGGAACCGATCATGCCCAAGGTAAGCGTGTCCGACGTTGCCATGCCTCAGTACGCGATGTTAATCGGATACACAGGGAATGCGTGAGCTGATCGTCAAAGACTCAGCCAAGAGCCTGAACGATCTCTTCTGAACACGGGCTGCCTTCGCATCCCGGGCGCATCTTCGCGTACCAACAGCACGGAAGATGAGCATGCGCCACTGTGGCACACAGTCATCAACGATCGTTGACATGTACCGCTTGCGGGAATTCCAAAAAAGCATTTCGAGGATTAGAAAGGGGTCCGCGGTGTAGTACTAGGCGGGACTCTAGCTCTCTGTCGGGGCATCGACCAGACGGACCGAATCGGATGCTGTGGTGCTCTAGAACGTCTTTCACGTTGGCGCGGAATGACGGCATAACGAGTCGGTGCTAGAGGGATGGTAGTCTACGTAGTCCAAAGAGTTATTGTCAGCCCGGCGAACCTTGGGATGTGAGATTGACAACTGCATGCGAACATCGGCGGCTAGGGACGCGTGTACATTTTATTTGGGGTTCGCATTCGGAAGATTTGCGGCCTGAGGACGGAGCTGACACATGTGTGAAGCATGAGTGAACGCTGCATCGTGTCAGATGCTGGGGCGCGATGCGCGTTCTCGAGACGCGGAGATGGCAGTAGCCGGAATGGGCACTGTGGCGTGTGATTGGCCGTGGGACGAAGCTTGGACGGTACCCCAAAGATGTACCTCAACAGGCATCTCGCTATAATATTGACATCAGTTAACTTTCTTCGCTCGTTCTCGACTGTTGAACGAACAAGATCACTCGTTGAAATTGCCATCCCCCTTGTGGATCGCTCGCGTGTCTTGCGTCTCACGATCTACATTGACAGGCCCCTGTTCTGGATCCCAACTCGGACTCGTCAGCCGCCGCCGCAGTAGCCACCTAAGCTGTACTCTGGAGTCCGATCTTCTCGCACCTCAGCGCCTATACCCTACACTGTGCCAGGCTGCGCATTCACCTATCACTACTCTGTCTGCACTCGCTGTGCCCTATTTCCCTTCACTTCCCATGATATAGCGACTGCGCACCGCAACCTCCGCGGCCTCAACTCCGAAACGCGGCCTCACTATGGCCTCCTCACATTTTCCGCTGCGATGGCGGACGGCGCTCCTGGGTGGCCTCCTAGCGACGGTATCATGGCTACCGAGCATAATGGCGCAGGAGAAGACGCAGGCCGACTACTTCATACACGACCTGCCCGGTGCGCCGAAGCCGTTGCTTAAGATGCACGCAGGGTAAGCAGACTGGGAGAGGCATGCGCACACATATGACAGTACTGACTTCATCAAACAGACACATCGAAGTCGATGCAGAGAACAACGGCAACCTCTTCTTCTGGCACTACGAGAACCGCCACATCGCAGACAAACAGCGCACTGTACTATGGTTGAACGGCGGGCCGGGCTGTTCCTCGATGGACGGCGCCATGATGGAAGTCGGCCCATACAGAGTGCGCGAAGGCGGCAATCTCGAATACAACAATGGCTCATGGGACGAGTTCGCAAACTTGCTCTTCGTGGATCAGCCTGTCGGCACTGGCTTCAGCTATGTCAACACCAACAGCTACCTCACGGAACTCGACCAAATGGCCGACCACATGATTATCTTCTTGGAGAAGTGGTTTGCGCTATTTCCCGAATACGAGCATGACGATGTGAGTGGCTTGACTAAGTGGACCCGCGGCATACTGACATATGGTAGTTCTACATTGCCGGTGAATCTTACGCTGGACAACACATTCCCTACATCGCTCGCGCTATCCTCAAACGTAACAAAGAAAACCTCTCGAAAACACCATGGGCGCTCAAGGGTCTCATGATCGGAAACGGGTGGATATCACCAGTCGATCAGTATCTCGCCTACATACCCTTTGCCTACCAGAATGGACTCATGCGGGCTGACACCGACTCGGCAAGACGCGTCGAAGAGCAACAGAGGATATGTGTCAAGAAGCTCGAAGAGGGCGGCATGAACACCGTCGACACGAGCGAGTGCGAGCAAATCATGGTCAGGATTCTGGAAGAGACCAAGAACAAGAAAGCCGACACGATGAACCAGTGTCTCAACATGTACGACATCCGTCTCCGTGACGACTCATCCTGTGGAATGAACTGGCCCCCGGATCTTGCGCAGGTCACTCCCTACCTCCGCCGTCCGGACGTCATTCAGGCTCTTCACATCAACCCCGACAAGAAGACCGGCTGGCAGGAGTGCAACGGAGCTGTCAGTGGCCATTTCCGTGCCAGGAAGAGCGAGCCTGCTGTCAAGTTTCTGCCTGAACTCATCGAGCAGGTTCCGACTCTCCTGTTCTCTGGTGACAAGGACTTCATTTGCAACCACGTTGGCACAGAGGCCATGATTGGCAACATGAAGTGGAACGGCGGAAAGGGGTTCGAAGCATCCCCTGGTGTGCAGAACGCAAAGCAGGACTGGATGTTCGAAGGCGAAGCCGCTGGAACATGGCAAGAGGCGCGGAACCTCACCTATGTTGTCTTCTACAACTCCAGCCACATGGTTCCTTTCGATTACCCCAGGCGCACTCGGGACATGCTCGATCGCTTCATGGGCGTGAACATTGAGGCCATCGGTGGTGCTCCTGCCGACAGCCTCATCGATGGCGAGAAGGGTCCGTTGACCAGCGTTGGCGACCACCCCAACTCGACGCAAGCCGAAGAAGACAAGACCAAGGAGCTCAAGGCCGCAGAGTGGAAGGCCTACGCTCGCTCCGGCCAGGTCGCACTCGTCGTTGTCGTCATCGTCGCCTGCCTCTGCGGCTTCTTGTGGTGGCGCAGCAGGCGCACAACCAGCGCATACAAGAGCACCGACAATGACGAAGGACGAGAGTCTCTTCTCACCGGTATGGGCCTCGACAACTTCCGCAGAAAAGAACGCAGGCAAGATCTTGAAGCTGCCGACTTCGACGAACGGGAGCTTGATGATCTCGACGATGTGCCAAAGAAGCCAGGAAATGGCTATGCGAGCGTGGGCACGGAGAAGGGGCGAGAGTCGCACAATGACTCCACGTTCTCTTTGGGCGTTGATAGTGATGATGAGGAGGCTAGCTCGAGCGATCGGGGCAGGAGAAAGGAAGCTTCGTGATAGATTGGGATGTTTGTAACGGCGCTTCACAAATATACTAGGATAGGATTATAGCATTGCAGGCGTATTGGGTGCCGAAATTACATGACTTTGCCTTGCCAGCATATACTTGGTGTACGGTGGCTGTCTAATGGTGACGCGCATAACTAGTTATTGCCCCTTCTCACGTGGACCTCCAAATACTGAGTATATGGAGACTTCAGACAGCTGAAGCCTGGTTGAGGTTTGCTAGTGCTGCACTCGAGTGTGGGTCTGGTCGATGCTGCCTTGAGAGCACGTGAGTGCGGGACTAGCGCGACCGCGTTCCTGCCGTCCCAAGGCGCGTCATCTTCAGCCACGACGCCTCGACTTCAGCAAAGCGGCGACCCATGCGCACCACATCGTAACAACAACAATGCCTGCGTACGTACAGAATTTCTACGCGTTCCCCACGCACCGTTTCCCTACATCAACAAAGTCCGCTAACAACGATGCAGGCCAGGCGACCAATACAACGGCGGCAACGTCAAGAACCCCTTCGAAGAACGCGTCGTAAACGGCTTCACAGCAAAGGAAATCGCGACATTACAGAGTCGGCTGAATAAACAACTCGGTCCGGAATACATATCGCAACGGCCGGGTAATGGCGGTGGTAAGGTGGCGTACCTGGAGGGGAACAAGGCGATAGCGCTTGCGAATGAAGTCTTTGGGTTCAATGGATGGTCGAGCTCGCTGGGGCAGGTGCAGATCGATTACGTATGTTTTGGTCTATCTGAGAGGCAAATGCACACTGACAAAGACAGGTTGACGAGCTTCAAAACGGCAAGGTCAGCTTGGGTCTCTCAATAGTAGTGAGGATCACGCTGAAGGATGGCACATATCACGAGGTATTGAGGTCGCTCTACGAATATCACCCTTGCTAATACCACGTCAGGACATTGGCTACGGCTCAATAGAGAACGGCAAAGGCAAAGCAGCATCATTCGAAAAGGCCAAGAAAGAGGCGGCAACAGATGGCTTGAAGCGCTCGTTACGCACGTTTGGCAATGTCCTCGGTAACTGCTTGTACGACAAAGAGTATCTCAAAAAGGTCCAGGTTATGAAGGTCAAACCCATCAAATTCCAGGAAGACAACCTCTACCGACACAACGATTTCAAACCGCCACCCCAACCTGAGGAGCAAGCTGTGGTCAAGCAGGAGCCGCACAAGACACCGGTTCGACCCAACCAGGTCCTTCGCACGCGTACAGATCACCTGAACAACGAGTCGTTCGGCGCTGACTTTGACGACGATGCGGACGAGAACTTGTTCGACGGAGTTGATGTCTCAGAGGGCCATGGCGACGAGTTCTCATTGTCAGAGACATTGTCCGCCCCGGAGACGGCAGCGCCGCGCGCTATCCAGCCAGCGAAACCAAATGGTGTATCGTCTGGTCGCACCTCACCAGTTCGCAACACAGGACCCCCTCGCCAGCCCAACGGCAGACCTCCACAGGCCGGACGTGGCCAACCCGGTGTGCAACAACAGCAACCAAACCAGGCACCCGGTAGACCTACCCCTCACATGCAGAACGGAAGACAGCCACAAACTCCTGTTCAACAGCAGCCTCGATCGGTGCAGAATGGCGGTCGCATGGCCCCACCAGCAATCGAAAACGGTGCTGCCTCGAGACCCGTAGGACAGCAGCCCCAGAACCAACAAGCCGCTCCTAACAACCAACCTCTCCGACCAACCCCACCCCAAGCACAACAACCACCGAACCAAGCACGACCAGCACCACAAGCCCAAGAAACGACCACACCCGCTCAAAACGCACCTCCGCCCAACCACCGACCCCCCGTAGGCTTCGTAACCTCCCGCGCCGCCGAGCTCCTCCAAGCCTCAGACTCCGCCTCCCTAACCAACCTCCCCTCCTTCAACCCCAACGCCGACTCGCCCATACCAAAAGAAAAACGCACCCCCGGCGTCGACCACGGGGCCAGCAAACCTATCAAACGCGACGCCGTCGGCGCACCCCCCGCCCCTCAACCACCACCCCAGCGACCAGGCGTCACGTCAAACGGCTCCTTCAACCGCCCCAACGTCGTAAACCCACACATGCAAGCTGATCGCCGCATTGGCATGCCCGGCGCGCCAAACTACGCTATGAGTCCTAGTGCGAATCGTGGCCAGTACAAGCCGCCTACCTTCAACGGTGCGGGGCCTGGTAATGGCAATCCTGCTGCTGGTGCTGGTGGTGGTCCCGGGGGTGTGAAGAGAGAAAGAGCCGCGTTGCAGGATGTTAGCAATGTGGGTGTTAATGGGAATGGGGGCGTGGGGAGCGAGGGGCCCGAGGCGAAGAAACAGAGGGTTGATGCGCCGCCCGGGGTGGAGAATGGCGGTGTTGCTAGTACGTGAGGTACCAGTGGAGATCACCAGGCTGCTTTCGTACTGCTGTGTTAGTGGACAGGGCGTTATTCTGGTGGTAAGGGCGAGGGTGTTTTGGCGTTATGAAAAGGGTGATGAGACGGTTATGTTTTAGCGGGGATATGTCTTTCGGGATTATCATTTCTTGGGAGTGGATAGTGTAAATGAGCGTTTCTGTCGTGAAAAGAGTAGAGGAATCTGATACATTGATACCAACCATTACAGGGACATGATTGTGTTGAGGATTGCTGCTTCTCGGGCTTCATTGGGAATGCACCGATACAGATGTGATTTGACTCTGCGTAAAAGGAACGCATCCAAGGAAAGAGTTTGAGAGTCATTGCATTCATTAAGCTCGATGCTACTACATCACACACATCTCCATACTCAGCTTCCAGCTATCCTGCCCAGTATCCCTCGACACCCCTTGCATGTCACACGCTTTCTCTGCATCTCATCCTCCTTCGAGCTTCGAGCTTAGCGGCAGAGCACTCACATCCCCTCTCTTCTTCAACACCTGTCGGTATCGAGCCCTTCCCGCTCAACCAGCAGCCTCACGGTAAAAGCTAATCGAGTTATTCCCGCCCGCCAACGCAAACATCTCACTCTTGCCCGCCGCTTTCGGCAGCCACTTTGCGCTCCAGAGCGGTTTGTCGCCGTGGGAATGCGTGGCTACGCAGGATCGCGTTTCTATGCGCCAGACTTTTGCTTTGGAGTCGTGGGATCTGTGAGGTTGTTGTGTTAGCTAGGTGTCTTGCAAACCTTCAAAATGCGCGTTGATGGCATGGTGGTCGGTTGTTGGGATGTGTATGGGTATGGGTATGGATGACGACTTACCCAGATAGCAAATACTCGCCCGTATCACTCCAATCCAGACTCAACACCCACCCGCCGTGGCCAGTGAAGTTTGCGACTTGCTCCCCGGATGTTACGTCGTAGAGAGCGATGATGCGTGCGTCGCCGCTTGCTGCTAGTAGTTTCGATGCGGGAGAGAAGGATACGGCGCGAACGGGGTGGACGAGACCAGAGAGAGAGTGTGCGAGGCGCCCAGTTTCGTTGTTGAAGACGTATATGGAGCCGTTTTCGTGGCCGGAGGCTGTGTATGTGCCGTTGCGGGACTGTGAGTGGGTAGGTCAGTAGGTCAGTATGGATTGACGGGGTGGGATGGGAGAAGGGAGGGAGCGCGTACCAAGTCTACAGATAGACCGAAGCTACCTTTTGTTTCGTACTCGCGTATCCGTGGCATACCTTCTTCTTTGTTGAGGCTCCAGACGTTGATCTTGCCGTTGATGCTGGTGCTGGCTAGATACTGGCCATCTGCACTCAGCGCAATGGCCCATATCTCACCTGGCTTGTTCTGGTCTGCAGTACTTGTCAGCTCCTTCCCTCTTTCAACAACACGACTTCCTGCGAGCCCAAAGAAAGCATGGAGGCGTACCCACCAACAATCTCCCCATCCTCACTCCATAAGCCATCCTCATCTTGACTCCATATCTTGACTTTGCCTTCGAAGCCTGCGCTCGCGGCTCGTCGTGCCTTCTCTTCCCGTGCGGTTACTAGGTGGTGTATGCCTAGTGGGTGCGCCTTGTTGAGTGTTTGTATTACGGGGAATTCGGCGTTTGTGGTATCGTACACGTTGATGCTGCTTGAGCCCGAGGCGGAGAGGAGCTGGGTGCTGGTTGGCGCTACGGCGAAGATGTCGCTTGCTTTGGGATGCGCCGAGTCGACTGTGTGGAGGGTGAGGTATTGTTTCGACTGAGGGTTGTTAAAATGGTGTTGGGGGTAATACAGAAGGTGCATACCATATTGACTTATCTGCAGCTCTGAAGACTTGTTTTCCGGGCGCGATTATCGTGACATGCGCGGAGTTTGGAGCTGAGAGCTAAATTCCAGCTCGATGTCGTCAGTACGGGCAACACGAAAACGCGACCATCCCACTTGAGCCCCACCAAACACCAACGAGGACCCCTAGCTTGACCGCCAATCACACCCCGCCGCGCCCGACAGCTCCCCATCCACGACTAGGCATGCCATTGACTCTCTCGCGATTCCCCAGGATCTTGTTGAAAGAGTCACGAAGCGGCAGCCTAAAGCTACCTTCCCATCTACGCCTGACTCACTCCTCGCTGCCATCCCTCCACACAAGACCCACGTTCACAACACTCCCCATCCGCACCTTCACCACTCACCCCTCCACAATGGCACCCACCGACCCCGTCCCCGCCTCCAAAGACGCCCTCTCCGCCAACCAACCCATCGTCATCTCCGGGCCCTCTGGCGCAGGCAAATCCACCATCCTAAAGCGCCTCTTCGACGAGTACCCCGGCAAATTCGGCTTCAGCATATCGCACACTACGCGCGGGCCCCGGGGAGAGGAGCAAGACGGCAAGGAATACTACTTCGTAACCAAAGAAGAGTTTTTGGATTTGGTAGAGAAGAAGGGGTTCGTGGAGCATGCGCAGTTTGGTGGGAACCACTATGGCACGAGTGTCAAGGCTGTGAATGACATTGCCGAGAAGGGACAGATTTGTATTTTGGATATTGAGATGGAGGTAAGTCTTTGCCCACTGTTTAGTACAAAGCGCATCTTTGCTGACGGAGTTTACTGTAGGGC